TCTCCAACCACCTAGCGCTGTCTCTCTCCCTCTCCAACCACCTAGCGCTGTCTCTCTCCCTCTCCAACCACCCAGCGCTGTCTCTCTCTTTCTGGCTATGAACAATGCAGTCTGTCCCACTCACTGTTTCTTCCAGACGGAGGAGGTGGGAATGGGAGCTGTGCTAGAAGAAGCTGGGCTGTCAGAGGGAGAGTCAGAGATAAGAAACTGACCGCCACCACACACACACACACAGTTGCCTGTTAACCCTGGCCCCAGCCTGCTCCGCTTAAACGCTGTACCCCTCGGGAAAGTGAAGTGAAGTGACTCACCGGTGTTCGACTCTGCCCATCCGAGAGTGAACAAGAAGCCGAATGCCATGCACAGGGCTAGCGCTTCCAGCCCAGAACCCATCGCGGAGCCGGCTGCAGAGACAGAGAGAGGGATACAGAGAGACAGTGCCGTAAGGACAGGCTTGTCTGGGGCTGGGGGAAAGATGAGGAAGAAGCCGGTGGGAGAGAGGAGAAAGGGAGTTGGCAAATCGGCAGCTCCAAACTGGGTAAGTCAGGTTGCTTGGTTAGTGCCGCCTCTCTGATCTCTAACTGGAGCAACACCTAAAAAAGAGCCTGAGGAGTGGGAGGGAGAAACACACATACACACACACACAGAGAGAGATCAGATTACTCCGAGCATGTGACAGGAAGCTTGGCTTTAAACCTGCTCCAAAAGGACTGTTTAGCTACAAGCTGTCTGCACCTGCCAGCAGGCTGCCCTCTCAAGGAGGTCTCCCGAGCCATTATTTCCCCTTTTCATCGGATTTTCTCCCGTGCAGAACAATTAGCAAGGAAAGTGACCGAACTTCCAAACAATTACTGTCACAGCCTGCCTTCCCCGATGAAAAAGTTACTGTGAGCACCGTAGCTTCACATTGGGATGTCTCAATGTGTGTGAAATACATTTTTGAAGGTTCATGTTAGGGACTGTAGTCACTAAATTGCACTCAGCAAGGCTCTCCAAACAGACAATGTAATAAATAAATCGTAAATCGCCTGTGATTGGCGAGTGTTGGGTGGAAGGTTATTTTTGTTTGCCCAAGGCACCAGAGAAAATCTGTTCATCTGAGGGGATAGACAGAACCTGGGTTTGACCTCTCCTCTGAAGGACTGTACCTGCAGCAATACAGCACTCCCTACCAGGTACTTCACTGGGCAATCAGAGGTTGGCACCTTCTCATTGCCATCAGTGCCTGTCATGCATCACCTAAGGCCCAGGATTAGCCAAGGAGTGGGGATCAGCTACATGAGGGTCGCCGACTGGGTGTCGGTCAGGGGAAAAAGAAGAGGGTTTAATTGCCACTGGCCCCCTCCTCCTGTCTGGGGTGGGGTCCCTTGAACAAGCACCGAGTTCCTAACAGCCAGGGACCCTCCCCCACCACGGAGCTCACAAGCCAACACAACAGGCCGTGGCTGTGTCAGGAATACGGTGTGGCTAATGCACCACCTACTGCTGGCTCAAAGCCACTGATGGGCATTAATTACCCACTTAAAATGCTCCATTAATGTTGGAGCAGGCAAGCCGTCCACAAAATGCCCCACCTCAGACTTAATTGGGGCAGTGGCAAGAAGGGAACCCCACCCTCACCCTCACATTCCCTATTAAATGCCCCCTACATCCAAATTCACCTCAGGGGAGGGTGTTACATTCTGTCCATTATCTGTGAGCTCTCTGGGGCAAGGCCTGTCAGGACTTGTATCTGAAACTGTGAAGACAAGCGCCTCTAACTCCCCCTCCCCTTGATCCAGCACAAATCCACATATAGAAGTCAGGAGGATCCCACGATTCACAATGTTCAGATGGCTTGGTATTCTAACACATGGGGAAATCTGCTATTCTTTCAGTCAAAAGTTGCTTAGTTTCCTTCACAGTTCCCAGCCTCTTTGATCCAAATTCCAGTCCATCAGTTTAGTAATGGAAATGAGCTGAATGAATTCACATTGATGAACTCCCCTGGCCAACCATATCACATGGTGTGACAAGTCAGTGTTGACATTGTATGTCCATGGCCTCCCTCATTTTTTGTTCCATGTAACTCTAGAAAGATGATTCAACTGTTTCTATTCTTGGAAACCTGCCAAAACAATCATTCATCTTTCTTGGACCTTCTGTATGAGCTATGTTTTTTTTATAAAATTCTCAACTTAGAATCCTGAACTTCCCCAGCATTTCGCTCAGCAAATGTATCTCCTACTTCTAGTATCTTAATCTTGTCAACTTTTCACAAGTTTCAGCCACCAGGTCCAGATAATAATATGGAGATAACTATCACTTCCTCTTACCTCTGTTTCCCCCATATATCTTTAGGATTCCACATCCTCCTTAATCTTCCAAAAGCAGCAGAAGCCAGTCAAATCCTTCTAACTTCTTTGCAACTCCCGTTTTCTGGCACTAACCCACCCAGAAATACAAACCTTTCCATCTGTTCATTTACCTAATGCCTTCCAAATGTCATGACTTTTGCCTCCTTAATCTGAAATCTATTTACTATCCACATTCACCTCCTCTACTTCTTTTTCACTGTGAATCTGTTTTCGATGTTACTCTAAGCATAATCCCATTAGCAAATTTAAGATTGTTTAAAATCTTGCCAGTTAGGGAGATTCCTCAAACATCACTATTTCGGGTAAGATTCATAAGTTTTCCCGGTGCAAGGTTAAATAAATTAGGCAGTGGTGTGTATCCTTGTCTCACCCCAACAACTGCTGATCTAAACCATTCTGGTGGCTTCCTGTGCATTCTAATGAAGCAGTGTCACAGTGGTTTGCTATCAGTCTGACACTTTCTCAGGAACACCTCGCATCCCGAAGACATGACATATCCCTTCTCACCATACACTATTGAATGCTTACTTAAAATATAAGAGGTTGGTGTAACAATAGATGTTGTACTCTGTAAATCTCTCCAAAATCTGCCTCATCACAGGCAGTTGCTGTAAATTATGTCCTTCTGCCTAAAACCAGCTTTTTCTCCCTTCAGTGTCAGTTCTGCATCATTCTCCTTTGTGGTGTCTGATTGAGATACTTCCATGTTTACTCAGCCACATAATTCCCCTCTAATGGTTCCATTTCCTTTTGTCTCCCTTTTTCAAAGATTAACTGAAGCCCAGACTTTATGAGCAGCAAGCAGATCGATGTGAGGGAAGGGGAGCAGGAAGAAAACAATCCATGCTGATACCACCTGCAGCTTCTCATCATGCCAGATGTCCGGATAAGGGTGAGCTCTGAGCTGTGGGAAGGGAAGAGTTGAAGATGGACCAAGTGAATGTGAGATCAGGGCAAAAATTGGAAGCAAAATTGATAAATTTTTCCAATTTGGAATAAGAGAGGGAAGCAATACTGATTGATGTTATCAATGTATGAGAGAAAGTGTATGTGGAGGAGCCCAAGTAAGATCAGATGTGTGGAATTCTGGTCACCCTGCTGTAGGAAGGATGTTGTGAAAATTGAAAGGGTTCAGAAAAGATTTACAAGGACAGGGTTGGAGGGCTTGAGCTAAAGGGAGAGGCTGAATAGGCTGGGGCTATTTTCCCTGGAGTGTTGGAGGCTGAGGGGTAACCTTATAGATGTTTATAAAATCATGAGGGGCATGGATAGGGTAAATAGAAAAAGTCTTTTCCCTGGGGTGAGGGAGTCAAAAACTAGAGGGCATAGGTTTAAGGTGAGCGGGGAAAGATTTAAAAGGCACTTAAGGGGCAACTTTTTACGCAAAGGGTGGTGCGTGTATAGAATACGCTGCTAGAGGAAGTGTTGGAGGTTGGTACAACTACATCATTACAAAAGGCATCTGGATGAGTATACAAAAAGGAAGGGTTTAGAGGGATATGGGTCCAATGTTGGCAAATGGGACTAGATTTATATGGAATATCTGGTCGGCATGGACGAGTTGGACTGAAGGGTCTGTTTCCATGCTATACATCTCAATGACTCTAAGTGGCATTATACAGGAATTTCAGCCAGCCCCACTGATACAGGAAACCATCTTCTCTGCAAGGATCAGGAGATGCAGGTAACCCATGACCCTTGCCGGTTTTGCTCTGCTCCTCACAATAATAGGTCCAACTATTGGGGCAGTACGGTGGCTCAATGGTTAGCATTGCTGCCTCACAGCGCCAGGTACCCAGGTTCAATTCCACCCTCAGGCGACTGAGTGGCGTTGCACATTCTCCCCATGTCTGTGTGGGTTCCCTCTGGGTTCTCTGGTTTCTTCCCACAGTCCAAAGATATGCAGGTTAAGTGGATTGGCCATGCTAAATTGCTCATAGCGTCCAGGGATGTACAGGCTAGGTGGGTTAGCCATGGGAAAATGCAGGGTTACAGGGATAGGGTAAGGGTCCAGGTGGGATGCTGTGGAGGGTCTGTCTGGACTCGATAGGTTGAATGGCCTGCTTCCATACTGTAGAGGATTCCATGATTCTATAACTATCTGCTGAGGGAAAGGCAGAACATCAGCAATCGTGTCACGCTGTGTTTGGATATGCCTCCCATGGCTGACTAGCTACACATGTCGAGGCACTAGGAGGTGCATTTGAAACTAGCTGGTGAGTGAAGGGGATATCTGAATGTGAGGTGTGAATCTTGATTGCCAAGAATTGGTAAAGGTTGAATGATGGGAATGTGGTGCATTGCACTGTGTGAGAGGTTGGTGATACGGTGGAGCACAGGTATCATTTGGAGAGAATTTGACTGACTTTGACCGCACACACGAGATCATCAAACCTGGTGTGGCCCTGGATCCTTGGGTCTCTGCTCCAGGAATTGACATCCTTGGCTACCTTCTCCCATGCCCTTTCGAGGGAAGTCCCATTTGGACCCATGGCATCTCTCCTCCTGCTCACCTCCATCACTGATGCCTCTCGTGGTACATTCATCTCCCTCAGTCCTTCCCTTTACCACTGTGTTCACATTTCCATCACTTAAATTGTAGCAATATTCTGCAGTGCAGTGTACCTTTAAGAAAGGCAGGGCCCAGCTATACCACATCATAGCGAACAATGGTACTTGACTCTCTTGTAAGTACAGATGCAATTGGCAACATTGAGAAAAAATGAGCAGTATGGGACCTGGTCAGTCAGATAATACAGTCATTTAAGATAGGTAGACCAAATCTGTGTGCTGCTCAATTTAATCTGAACAGGCACAACCAGTCAGGATTTCTGGCCCTAGCACCCTAAAACTGAGGGAATCGAACTTTTAGAACAGACTCTAAACCTATACTATGTATTAGCTGTATATGTTAGAACATTTAATTCAATGATAAATTATGTACAAAACAACATAAAGATGAAATTGAGAGTGATGTTACTAAAAGAGATAGAAAAATTATAGAAGGTTTAATTCTAATTTAGTTGAAATCTCAAACAAGAATTCGCATTTAAAATCAATGAGACTCCACACTTTCTGGAAGAAAATTTTCAGGGCTAGAGAGGTTGATCAACAGAAATTAAGCCTTAACATGGTATGAAGAATACATTTATATGATATATATACACAATAAATGCATATGACTGAACAAGCCCTAAATTTTCAAGGTATGTTTAGTACCACAGCTTTATGTATCAATATTAATGGTGAAAATATTTCAGAAGGAACGGTTAG